GCCCAGCTAATTTTTTGTATTTTTAGTAGAGACGGGGTTTCACCATGTTAGCCAGGATGGTCTCGATCTCCTGACCTCGTGATCCTCCCGCCTCGGCCTACCAAAGTGCTGGGATTACAGGCATGAGCCACCATGCCCGGCCAAGACCCCATTTCTTTAAAAAAAGAAAAAAGTAAATTTAAACTGTTAGTTAAAAGTAAATTATTTATTAATGAAATTTATTATGATTTATGCAGTTATTCTGCTTCAATACTTGCTTTTTTCTTTGTTTTTTCAGGGATTGAAGGGCAAGTTTTCTCAGCAAGTAAAATCTCACAAGCTGCATTATCTATAAATAAAAACATAGTTTAGTATTCTACTTATTTCATCTGTCATTAACTATGAGTCCAAAGGACAAGAGAATTCAAATTTGACAAAACAATATTTTAAAAACCCCGATTTTAATGACTGCACCTTTGTCAACAATTAAACAAGAAAAATGAATGTATGTTGAATAATAAAAACATCCTTATCTTAAGAGCTCCAGGTTTCAGAGAAGCAAATAAAATATATATAAAATATTTTCTTTTCAGTTAGTAGGGAAAGTTGCATGTGATTATAATTCTTCATTCATTATCCTACCATTTCCACTCTCCACATTTTCAAGCTATTTTTCTACTACAATTTTTTCTTTTTTCTTTTTTTAAATTTCAATAGCTTTAGGGGTACAAGTGGTTTTTGGTTATATGAAAAAATTGTACAGTAGCGAAGTCTCAGCTCTTAGTGTACCTGTTTACTGCAACTTTCCTATCAGCATTTTAAACATTCTCAAGCCTCTCTCATCAAAAAGTTTCCTGGTACCTCATATCCACCTCCTGCTGCAGCCCCTATATCTCTTCTTGCCCACAGGCAAATTTCTTAAAAGATCTTCCATGTATACTAACTTTATTTCCTCTCCTCCTATTTACCAAATCCAAAGTATCCAGTTGCACTTCCACCAATATCAGCAGAGACCTTACCTGTCCTACCTCACTAGACCTTACTACAACAGGCTGGAACACTTCTAACCTGGCTCCTTTTTATGTCTCTTCTTCAGTCTTGAGTCTTCCCTTTTCCCCTCTCTGGACTCAATCCAAGCAACAAATATTTATTGAGGGTCTGCTATGTGCCAATTTTGCCTATCATATGCATTTAAAGTTGTATATTCAGCTTTTCTTTTCCTTTTTTTTGAGATGGAATCTCACTCTGTTCCTCAGGCTGGAGGGCAGTGGTGCGATCTGTGCTCACTGCAAACTCCACCTCTCAGCAATTCTCCTGCCTCAGCCTCCCAAGTAGCTGAGATTATAGGCACACACCACCACACCCAGCTTATATATATATAATTTTTTTTTGAGACAGAGTTTCGCTCTTTGTGGCCCAGGCTGGAGTACAGTGTCATGATCTAGGCTCACTGCAACCTCCACCTCCCGGGTTCAAGTGATTCTCCTGTGTCAGCCTCCCGAGTAGCTGGGATTATAGGTGCCTGCCACCACGCCTGGCTATTTTTTTTATTTTTTAATTTTTTTAGTAGAGACAGGGTTTCACCATGTTGGCCAGGCTGGTCTCAAA